GTGTGTGTGTGTAGGGGTATTATGCATGCTACAGTGCACATGTAGAGGTGAGTGGACAATTTTTAGGAGTCAGCTCCCTCCTTTCACTGCATGGGTCCCAGGGATGGAACTCAGGTTGTGGGTCTTGGCAGCAGGTGCCTTTACTCACCGAGCCATCTCACTGGCTCTTGTCACCTTTGAAGGTAACAGAAGGAGCACCACTTCCATGTGGGGTCCTTTCTCCTACCCTCACCTCTACCCCAACCAGTCCCAATCTGCCCCCGCATAGTCCTGTGGCTCTGTCCCCATCCCACACATAATCACCACCACACAACCTGCTAAACCCACTCTACTTCCCAGGCCCTGGGGTCAAAGCTTTCCACTTCTTGTTCTGACCATCCTGGAAGTGAGAGTTATCACTTTTCATTCTCCAGATGAGACAGCAGAGGCTCAGTAGGAGAAAGTTCAACGTCAAATTACAGTGTAGTTCCACGAATTCAACCAATACGCGTTTATTACACCCATCTATACTACAGATTCCGAACTGCAATCCTGGTGGTTTTCCTTACCTGCTGTGTCACCTAAGGGAAGTCTCTGCTCTTCTCTGTGCCTCGCTTCCCTCATCCGGAAAGCGCGAGCTGTGGAAGTTTGCGCCCCAGGGTGGTGAAGACGAAGTGGGCTGCTCTGAACAGAGTATGGACCACGCTGGTGTCCAGTGGGGGCTCAAAACATACCGGTGTGTTGTTCTCCCAGAAGGAGGCTGGGGTTGGCTTGGTGAAGAAGGCAGGGTTATGGCAGGTATGTAAATGATTATTGCTTGCTCCATAAATATTTCCTGACAGCTGGCTCAGGTCACAGCCTGCCACTCCCAGTGTGAGCCAATCATTCCCAGCCATGGGTATAGGACACAGCTTGCTTGTGGGAGATTCAGCCGGCCAAGCGTCCAGGCAATTGCCTGCAGGAATCTTCTAGACCACAGACTGTCCCTGGGCCCAGAAAGGGTGCTGCTTGACTCCAACCCTGGGCTCCATCAGTCAGAGAAGTGTCAAATTTCATTCCTGGACTTTCCGAAGCCCAGAGTGAGAGTCAGGCGCAGGCCCAGGTTGAGGATAGGGTTCGGCACCCATCACCAACTACCACTTTGCACACAGACGTGTATCCATCTGGTACCACTTGTCACAGGCCAGACACACTGAGGCCTCCCAGTCAGGCCCTGGCTGAACAAGATTTCTGGATCTGAAGATGGTCTCTGCACCTTCATGGATCTAGCGTCTTCCAAATTTACCCTTGAAGAGTACCTGGCCATCATGTTCTTGTCTACTGGAAATAAATGACCCAGACCCCAGATGTGACAGCTGCAGGTGCTGTCTAAGTCATGACAGGCCAAAGCCCAGAGAGGGCACGTTAGTAGCCAGAGAAATCCAGTAAGGGACAGGGGAACCTGGGTCCCAGCTACCCATATTGCTGAACTGTCCTCTTCTTCCTGTGTCCTTTTAAATACTGAATGATCCCTCCTGGGAGGGACCTCTCACCTCTGCTCGGACCTTCCAAGACAAAACTCCTAGAAGACCATTTCATCCTTTATTACAAACATGAGTTCATAAGTAAACAACTGAGGCTCAAAAAATACATTAAAATAAATAAAAAGCAGTTCAAAGTTCTTAGAGCAAATAACTTATATACAGATGAATGAAGGAGAGCAGGCCCTGCCCCTCCCCCAAAACTGTCCCAAGAGGACAAGATTGCAAGACCTCTAGGGAGGGGGAACCAGAGAGGATCATGGGGGCCAGCCAGGATGTCGGTCATCAGTGTGCCCCATCCAGTCTCCAGGCACGGCTTAGGTAATCAATTCCTAACGTGGGACTGCCCCTAGACTGCAGTCCAGCAAACAGGACACTCCTCAGGACACAGTCAGCATGTTCATTTGGCCTCACGGAGCTCCTTCAAGCAGGTCTGTAGCCAGCAGCCAGCACAGGGTAGGCTGCTGCTGCTCAGGAGCTGAGGGTGGCCTGGCGGTGTCAGGGCCAGAGCTGCTGCAAGAGAAACCGGAGCTTGTGCTGACCCCATCGGATGGGTCTGGCTAGCTGGGGCTGAGGTCTTGGCCCACAGGCACGGGGTCTCCCCAGCTGCCCATTGCCTCCTGTCTCCACGTGGGCTTCCTTCTCAGTGGTCCTGCCCCTCACAGGGTTATCTTTTTCTCCGTCTAGAGTGTGCAGGACCCGACTCTCTTGTCACCTCTGGCTGTAGCCTGGCAAAGTGGAGCTTGGCGGCAGAAATGTCCCTAGAAATGGAGAAGTATCAGTTAGCATCTCAGGAGATACAGGGTGCCCAGGACTCCCTTGGAAGGTAGGTAGTTGGACCTAGAGCCTCTGCCTAGATCTGAGGTAACAGCTGCCCCGGCTCAGAGTGTGGTCACCGCGCCAAGCAAGGTCTGCACATCAGGCCCAGGAGCTTCTCTGTCATGGGGCCGCTGACAGGGCTTATGTTTAGCATCGGGTGTTGCTGAGGTGAGGGGTCTGCCAAGGACAGCCTGGACACCGCCCCTGGTGTGTCTTCCTTTTCTCACCCTGTGTGAATGTCCTTCCTTCCTGGTACTCATATTCCTCCATCTTAAACTAGGCCATCCTGCTCTATCTGAGTTCACTCTCTGCTGCAAGGTGGGCTTGTCCACACGGCATGGTCCTGGTGGCCCTTTGACCTTGTCTGAGGTCATGGCCCCAGCTCTGGGAACAACTCTCCACTTCCAGACCCTAAGAGTTCTATATCTGGGGGTGAGAAGGTGGGTCTCAGGGCCAGACTGCGGGACCTGGGCAGGGCTCACCCTCTTTGAGGCCCTTTCTCTGCTTTGAAGACACTAACTAGACCCAGTCCTGAGGACCTGCAACAGTAGGATAGCCCTGAGCTCAAGGCCAGCCTGGGCTACTGAGTGAGATCCTGTCTCAAAACCAATCTACACCAAACCAAAGCAACAACAAAAACAACAGTAACAGCAAAAAAAAAAAAAAAAAAAAAAAAAAAACCCGAACTGCCACCAGGATGAATGCTCGGGTAGTAAAGCAAACTCTTTGCACACTGTGAAGTGGTGTGCTGTCTACATACACACACACTGAAGTGCTGTGTATTTGCCAAGCCTTCCTTATTCTCAGTCAGTTCTAGAGTTCTTGAGTGCAGGGGCCTGCCTATCCTACCACTCCTGCTCCATTTTCTGCCTTTCCCCAAAGATGGTAACTCCCAAGGAGCCACGCCAGGTACTGTCCAGCCCCAAGGACCCCTTCACGGCAGAGGCAGGTGTGGCCAAGGCCTCCAGAGCTCCACAGGGGTAATGCTTCCTACATATTAGCACACCTAACCTCATGAAAACCCTTCAGAATGGACATCGCTACCTTCCTGCTTCAAAATCTGCAGCACAGAGAAGCCCGACCACAAGCCAGGGCTTAGAAAGCCCGTATGTGGCTGAGGTGGGCTTCTCAGCCGGTAGTCTCTGTCCCACCAGCTGCCCCTGGGTCCCTTTGCTGAGTGGTCCAAGTTGACGTTTCTGTCCTTCAGTTGGACAAACATGTGTGGGCCTTGTGCTAAGTCACTTGTGGCCACCAAGTAGGGGAGATCCCTTATGAGTATTAGAGGAGCAAGCCACACCGCGCGTCATTCACTCCAAGCCCTGGCGTGGGGAAGCCGCCTGGATGAATAACTATGGTTCTTTCCAGTCAAAGCCCTCGAGGCCTGATGCACACCTCATGATCACAGAATGCAGGAGTTAAGGAAAGAGGCTTGGGGCTGGAGAGATGGCTCAGCATTAAGAGCACTTTCTGCTCATGCAGAGACCCAGGGTTCTGTTCCCAGAACCCCCATGGCAGCTCACAGCAATCCATAATTCCGGTTCCAGAGGATCCAGTGACCTCTTCTTAGAGCACATAAGTTACATACAGATGATGTCCTCTTCTAACCTCCGAGGGCACCAGGCACGCATGTGATGCGCATATGTACATGCAGGTAAAACACTCATGCATGTAAAATAAACCTATTTCTTTAAAAAGAATATAGGCTCTTAACGGAGCCAGATGTGATGGATGCTTTGTGACTCTAAACAAGTGGCCTCACCTCTCTGAGCCTCAGTTATCTGGGACGGACAAGGAAGACCCAATCCTGCCTCACACAGAGGATAAGGCAAGCAGGCAAAGCGTACAGAAAGTGATCAATCATGCAATGACCCTCACCTTAGCTTTTGGAGGAGGTCTCCCTCAGCGGCCCACTTCTTGTCAGTCTTTAACGCAGCTCCGGGAGTCTGGCTGCTTGGGGGGACCACAGTTTCAGACCTGAATGAATAGAGTGGCAACGCGTGAGGGGCTGGCCAGAACCCTGAAGCTACCTGGCTGTGGGCCCAGCCCAGCCCCCACCCCTGCCCTCTGGAGCAGATCCATTTCCACACTGCACACCTGGCACCCTTCCCTCATGGGCGGGGTGAGTACCAAGGAAAGCTGAGCTACTGGGAATGTGTTCTCAGCCCCAGAACGAGGCAGATGGGTGGCCGGCCTTCCCAGAATCTGGCCACCTGCAGTTGCAGGGGAAACTGAGGCAGGGGTGGAGCCCCAGATTGAGCCCCAGAGGAGGAGTTTCTCGTAAACTGTCATGGGAACCGGAACATTCTGCTTGCTTTCTCAATGGTCCAAGAAGGGGAGGGAGGGATGCAGCCTTCCCCTTCACAGATGGAAAAACCAAGGAGGCTTGGCATCCACATCCCAGTTCCTTGACATAAGGACAACTCTGGGACCTGTCATAGATTGCCAGCTACCGATGTTATTTTTTCTTCTAAACAAACCTATGAAGTACTAGAGCCTCCAGTTAGAATCTGAAGCCCAGTGGAGCCCGATTTCTTGTGGGCCTGACACAAGGCTTGCCCCTCTCTGAGCCTGGGCTATAACATGGCTTTGCCCAGGAGTGGGGATGTGTTCTCCCAGAATCCTTGGAGCTGAGCAGAGGGAGGAACACAGTGTATCTCTATGGGGAAGGACTGCCACAGGCCCAGTGTACTTCTGGGATTTAGGACATTGCTTGTCTCCTCTGGGCCTCTGCCCCTCTCCTAGTCTCCCAGATACCCTGCAGGCCTGGTCCCGTATAGCAGTCACCCAACCCCTGCAGGCTAGGAGTCCACCTACCAGGGTCTTTGATGGCAGAAGGTGGCACAGACAGAGTCCCCGGCAGTAGAGCACTCACAGCGCCTTGGCAGGGAGCGGCGCCGGCGCCTTGGCGGGTTTCCCAGGCCGTAGGGAGCTGTCTGTCTGTGGGCGGGAAGCCAGCAAGGTAGTGTGTACATGGGGTGGGGGGAGGCAGAGAGGAGAAAAAGAGAGGAGAGACACAGGATAAGATAAACACATCATTGGCCAGCAGAGACAGTCTACACTGAACATGGGTACAGCCAGTCACCCCTCCAGCATGGCCAAGAAAGGTGACCACCCCACTCCTTCTCATACTAAACTAGCCACAAGTCACAGACGCCTGTAACAATGCTTCTGCACACTGCTCTGCTAGCAGCTCCTGCAGGAGAATGTAAGGAGTAGAGCTTGCAGTTCCTAGGAGGCCTGGGCTGGTCCTCTGTCCTCAGAGAAGTCCCCCCACCCCATCTAGGCCATGAGGAAGGAAGACCATTCAGTCACCAGAGTGAAGCATCCAGCTCTCAGCCAGGTGGCCTCTAGTTGGTCCCCACTTGTTGGGGGAGTGTGATAAATATGGTTTTGTTGTGTGTGTGTGTGTGTGTGTGTGTGTGTGTGTGTGTGTGTGTACATGTGTAATTGGACTGATTTCTGATCCAGTTTGGCCAAGGGAGGCAGAGTAGGGGCCTTGAGGCTAGTCCACTCAACACCTTTGGTCAACAGCTAATTTTGGAGCTATAGTGATTCTGGGTGGACCTGGCACGCAGGGACTGGCAGGGTTCCCACCCTGAGCCAGCATTTGGATGTGGATTAGCTCTGCACACGTTTATATGCTCAGCTTCTCCTGCCTTATGCAATTTGGAGAGGGGGAAAATACATACATCCACAAAAACGTCAACCTGAGGTATGCAGGAGCCTGGAGGCAGCACAGGGCAGGGAGAACCCAGCTCTGGCTCCTGCCAGGGTATCCCAGGCAGACTTCTTGTCTGCCCTATGGGGAGCTGCAGCAGGGCCTTTCTTGTGGGGGAGACTGGAGGCTCAACAGTGCTTGCAGTGTTTCACGCAGAGTGTGGCCTGCGCATGGCTGCTGTTATGCATGGGCTGATTCTCTGCAGGGTAAGTGTGGTTGAGCTCCAGCACCCCCAGACTTGGGAAGGGACCAACCCACCACTTATTTTTCCTGTGTGACCCCAAAGAGCTTGCCTCACCTCTCTGATCCTCAGTACCCTGCTGTGGAACAACGGAGCTAGCAGGTTTCTACAGATTGTTGTGAGGATTCCAAGGCCACACAGCTCTCTGCCTGATTCTGGTGGCCCCCACATTGACTCATAACTACTAACTATGGGGTGGGTAGTCTCCCAGTGTCCATCTGAGCCCCCTGGTGAGCCAGGCAGTTGCAGAGGTTGCCAGAGGCCTTCACCCCCACCTGCTCCCACAGTCCTGGTGGATGCTCACCCTGCAGTGTTCACCCAGATGATGTCCAGGTGGCAGAAGTACACACACTCCTTGTCAAGCCAGGAGTTGCAGGAGCAACGGCGAAAACGCAGGTGGGGACCACGGCCCTTGGGTGCCAGGGCTGGCTGCTCCACAGTGGCAGCTGCCTGGCCCTTGCCTGCACACAGGAAGGAGAGAGAGGTGGAGAGGAGGTCAGGGCACCTGGCCTGCGTGGGATAGGGGACCCATAGGGCTCCTCCTCTTGCATAATAAGGAAGTTGGCACTCTTGATGCTCAGGAACCACTGGTTAGCCTGGGGAAGCCCCAGCCAACAGCGCTGTGTCTGCACTCGGCTGAGGCAGCTCCTGCTGGGAGCTCCCTGCTCTATGCTCCCAGTTGGCTTTGGGAAGCACCGTACCCCTGGAGGAGATACCAATGGATAGACCCCGGGGCAGCAACAAATGAGGGAGGGCAGCTCACCTTCATGCAGGGCCAAAAGCAGGGCCAGAGCGATGGAGCACCAGGCGGCCGGTGTGGAAACCATAGCAGCGGCAGAGTGCTTGGCTGGACCAGGAGAGCAGGGAGCGCCTGTTGCCTGCGTCCTGGTGCTAAGCCGAGCTGGGAGCTCATTGCCGAGGTGCCCTGACCGTCTCTTATAATACCAGCAGGGTGCCCGCCCCTGCTGGTCCAGCCCCGCCTCGCCGAGGAGCAACACCTTGGGCAGAGAGCCAGGGACACCGCCTCCTCCTTGGGTGCCTGGCCCGCCCTGGCCTCACCGTGAGTGAGGGGGGGAGGAAGGTGGAAAGCTGGGCTCCACCCTCTGCGCTGTGCTGGAGCACCCTCAGGAGTCTCCAGGCTCGGAGTTCTGAGGTTACCCCCAAGTGCTCCCAACCCCCTCCCTACTCTCCCCGCGGCCCTCCCGAACTGGAAGTTTGGAATGGAGATCTCAAAGCAAGGCCCTCCCTCTTTACAAAGATTTTGCCACTCTCCTCCCTGCTCGTTGTGAAGCAAGCTGAGACATCCCTTCACTGCGTGGGAGGTGATAGGCCCACTCCAGGCTTCATGGCCTTGGGCGAGTCAGAATCCACTTTGGACCGCTGGCCTCAGGAAGGGCACAACTCATGCCTGACCTTTGACAGCCTGGGGCTGCCTCATCCTCATCTTACCTTAGAAATGCTATCACCCCTCCCTCCCCATACACTCCTCACCCCACTCCCAACTGTAGAAGGAGTTCTCAATTGTACAACCATGACCAAGGAAGAAATAGCCTCCTGGACTTCAGTTTCCTTTTTTTTATTCTTTCTTTCTTTTTTTTTCTTTTCTTTTTTGCAAAATAAGACCAAAACATGGGGCTGGCCCCTGAAGCTGTTTGACTCAAATCTGCCCTTGAGATAGCGAAGTTACTTCAGAGTCCTTTCTAGGAAGATGCTCCACAGGCTCACTGAAGGTGTACTGAGTGGTTTCCCACCGTGGATGCAACAGAATATCTTGCTCACCTCGGTGGCTACTTTATGCAAAAAATGGAGAAGCCGGGAGGCTGACCAAGGCGGCTCAGAGGGTAAAAGTGTTGGCCACACAAGCTCGATTATCTCCGTCTGAGCTAGAACCCAGCGGCGGTGTGCATCTGTGGTCTCAGTATTTCTATGGTGAGGTGAGAGATGTAGACAGAATTGCCTATAAATTTATGGGTCAGCTTGTCTGGAGTACAGCACACAGCAGGGACAAGGGAGACCTTGCCTCAATCAGGCAGAAGGAGAGAATCGCCACCTAAGTTGTCCCCTGACTTCCATACATGTGCCATAGCATGCATGCATGCATGCACTCACACAGACATATCACACACACACATACATACAAATATGCACACACAACAATAATAAATAAGTGGAGAAGGAGGAGGAGAAAGAGAAGACAAGGCAGGAGGAGCAGCTCTCTAGGGCCTGGTGGTCTGCTTTGGGTCCCTCGGCTGACTCAGAAGTCTCGGAAGAGGCAAAAGCAAAGACACACCGTGGGGAAGGGAAGGGGCAGAATGAGCGACTCAGAGCATTGGCAGTCCCTCTGTGCCTGTTCTGGCCTGGCAGAGTCCACTCAAGCAGATCCTTCAGGAAGCCTGGCTGCAGGTGCATGGGAAAGGCCCTCAAGTTCCTGGAATTCTAGGCCTGCCTGACTCATGGTAGTAGACGTATCTTACATTCTTGAGGTCCAGAACCCTACAGAGGGCATGGCCTGTGGCCTCCCCTGAACACAGGATATAGCTCAAGAGCCCTGCGGATGCACTCCGAGGGAGAGAGAGTGATGTAGGACTCCCCTGGCTCTGGGCTAGGGACCCCAGACCATTCGGTAAGCAAAAACACACTGTCACTTACTCTGTATTCCCATACTCCACTTCAAATGGCCACCCTAGGATGCAGCTGCTCTCTTCTGGTGTCAGTTCCAACAATGCCCACAAGGAGGCTCAGAGAGCAGGTGTGTGTGTGTGTGTGTGTGTGTGTGTGTGTGTGTGTGTGTGTGTGTAGGAATCACATCAGTCATATAACTGACATTTGACAGAAACCCCTTTGGAAGCCCAGCCTTGATCTCACTAGTAAGCCACAATGAACTTGACTCCTTTCTCCCACGTGGGGCTCGCTGCCGTCCCTGTGCTGCAGCTCTGTAAGAATTTAGAAGAATAATTTTGGAATGAAGTGAGCAGTTCTCTTGGGCTCTGAGAGAATGTGGCTAGGGACTTGCGTAGGGGTGTCGGGAGTGGGGAGCCACAAGAAAGAAGAGAGGGCAGGTCAGCGGAGAAGGAGTAGGGTCAAGGCGGGGAAGAAAACAAACAGGCAGATAAAGGCAGGTACCAGGGGAGAGCTTGGCAGAACCAGGAAGCAGGGAGAAAGACAGAGCTGGGGTTTGAGGAAGTAAAAGAGAAAGACAGGGGAGGGGAGCTGTTGGGGGGAGGGGGGGGCTAGAGAGGCAGGGCTCTGACCTGTCTAATCTTCACACAAATGCAAAATGCCTGCCCAGGACAATAGGGAGCCAGAGGCTCTGAGTCTGGGAAGCATAATAGAAGAATTAAAGGGAGCCAGAGACAGGATCTTTCTGGGTGTGAAAAGAGCGGCTACTGGGCTGGGGCCACTGCAGCCTCCCGGGGTCAGCACAGGGAGCTGTCTTGCTGGCTCTGGTTTCTCTCTGTCCCTGGCTTGGGCTCCAGCTGGACAGGCTAGGCTATATGTAATGGAGAGGCCTGCCTAGGAACCTGAGCGAGTCCAGCCTGTCTTAGGGGATGGAGCCTTTCCGGGAACAGTGCTACCCCACTGACAAGAGCTGTTTTCCAGGTAGAGAATTAAGCTGAGTTAAAAATAGCCTCCCCAGGTCCTTGCATCTCTTGGCCTAGGCCCTAGCAATCACCCTTGCCCCTCCTGGTTGATCTGGTGGCCTGCCCCTGGCCACTGTAATTGTCCTGGTCTACCCCTGTCCACTGTAATTGTCCTGGCCATGCTGTTGTTATTCCTTCCAAGTGACTTGGCTGCATGTCCTTGACTGCCTGTGCTGACACTGGTGGTGTGGTCCTCACCAACTGCCCCAGCCACCCATTTTGCTGAATCCTCTAGCTTGGCTGTACCCCGTAAACTGCCTAGGTAGGTAGGTCTCTAGCAGCTGCAGGGGAGGTAGCTGGGGGCACACCTGAGGAAGAGTTCGAGGGATTTTTTTTTTTTTTTAACAAATGATGTATTTCCCACCAGGTGGGCACTTGCCTAGGCGGAGAAGGTGGGTGGCTTTGGGGGAGTGAAGGCTGGTGACAGAGAATGGTTGACATTTATTTATGAGTGAGAAGCTAGGAATTGCCCTGAAGAAATCCCCGCCAGTCATCAACCCCAATCCATAGATGAGAGAGATAACTGTGGCCCAGAGGAGGAGCAACCTGCTCCAGTCATAACGGGCTTGTTCTCTTAGATTCTGACCAAGACTTGCTCTTCTCATATACCTGTGAGTTTAGTTCAGGGTCCGTTTGGGTGTCTTTGTGGGGAAAGCTATGAGAAGTATCCCACTGTCAGAAAGGCCAGACACTGGGAAGTGCCTAGGCTACCTCCCCAGGACCCTTAAAACTCCATAATACCTGCACGCTGTCCAGCCACCAGAAATACTGCGTCAGATGGAGGATTCTCAAGAGCGAGGGACATTGTTCCCTCGGTCAGGGATGACCTGCAGCAGTGGCCTGGTATTTCAGGCAAGACCCTGGAGCAGGAGACCTTTCCCGGCTCTCCTACACAGTGCGACTGTACTTCCCTGCCTCTTCCTTGTTTCTGTATTCCTGCCTTCCTACGGATGATGAGAGATGCTCTCAGCTCTGACTACCCGTGGCATTTAGAATCCAACCTCCTGTACTTTGGAGCCCCACAAATGGAGGTCTCGCAGATTGTGGCTGTGCGGGTCTGGCTCCCAGCTAGGCCTTCCATCTCTAGAACATCAGTCATGTCTTATGGTCACCCAGCCCCACCGAGCTTCAGAAAGTTTGTTTGCACCCTGGATGGAAGGGGCATAATGTCTGGCTTGCAGGTACAGGCTGTACATGTGACTTAAGAGTGAGCAGCTGGGAACAGGACTGGCTATGGGCCAATGCTGGAAGCCTAGTGACCACAGACTGGCAAGGGTTTGGCCGTACAGCTGACCTTGACTGGGGCTTTGGGAACTGGGGAAGCCTCAGACATTCCCATTGTCACTTGCCTGGGAGCCACAGCTTGAATCACTTCTCTTGGGGACTGAGGGCACTCAGCCTCAGGGCCTCCTTCTGATGGGTGGGTGGCTTGGGTCTCCTGCTGTCAGTCCTATCTCACTGGGAGCCAGCAAGGCCTGCCACTGGCTGCCCACATCTGGGTCTCAACAAAGCTACCTGAGGCCTGAGAGACCGGCTCCCTGGGTCCATGCTTCTCAGAGGATACCCTTGCCTGTCATCTCCCTGCTTCCACGTTAGTCCAGTGGAAAGATTTCTGTCTCCCACATAAATTATACCTTTAAAGGGCTAATTCACGTGCCTTGTTTGTTATCAGAACAGGGTCATCAAGGCCTAGAAGATATCTGGACTTTCAGAGAAACACAGGCCATGCCCATCAAAGCTGGCCAGATGGCTGTGAGGGTTTGATTTGATGGATATTTTGGAATAAGAAAATAAACACAGAGGCTCAGCAGTTAGGACAGAAACCTTTGAGCACCAAGTTTTCGAGTTTCCTCCAATGTTAAGGTCCCTGTTCCCCAGTTGACCTCTTAGGAATATAGAGGGAGCATAGAGCACTTAATGTATCCTAAGCCCTGTGACAAGCAACCCACATGCATCAGCTCCACAGACAAACACAGCACACCATGGGGTGAGTGCTGTGATCAGGTCCTGTTTGACAAGCGAGGAAACTGAGACTGACTGATGGTGGCCTGTTCAGTGACCACAGCTCTGGACCCTGTGTGCCCCCAAGTCCCCTTTGCCCCTCCCCCCAGCAGTTCTTCTATGAGGACAGTTCCCTGTGCAGACAAGCAGAGAACACGATGCAGGCTTAGAAGACTGGGAATTCAAGAACGGAGACAGGCCTCTTACATAAAGCAGCCCATGTTCAAGAGGGCAGCGGCTGAGGCCTGGACACCTTCCAAAGGCATGGACAGCCATTCTCATTCACTGGGCCTCCAGACTGACCTGGGAGTTAGGTTGAACTTGACCTCACTATAGATGAGGCCCCGAGGGAAGTGGCTTTCTCAAGGCAGGGCTGAGGTTTCCCCTTTCATGTTTCTTTACTAAGGGAAGGACAAGCTACATCACGGGTTTTGTTAATCCCCGACCTATCCACATACTTATTCAGCTATCCATTCATCGTCCATCCACCCTACCCCCATCCGCTCACCTATATATCCATTATTATTATTACTATTAATTATTATTTTGGGTGTTTTTTGAGACAAGTTTTCCTGTGTATCCCTGTCTGTCTTGGAACTTATCTGTAGACCAGGCTGGCCTCAAACTCAGAGATCCACCTGTCTCTGCTTCCCAAGTGCTGGGATTAAAGGCGTGTACCACCACCGCCTGGCCTGTCCATGCATTTTTCTCATCTATCCATATTTCCATCCATCTATCCTCCAGCATCTGTCCACCTACCCATCCTTCCACCCATCCATTCATCTGCTTATC